ATATAAATGTCTGTACAGTTTTTTCCATTTCTGAGAGAAATGTCATAGGAATTTTGATGGGGATTGCATAAAATTTGTATATCACTTTGGGTAGTATGTACATTTTCACAACGTTGATTTTTCCAATCCAAGAGCTTGGGATATCTTTCCATCTTCTTGTGTCCTTTTCTCTCAGCAGTGGTTTGTAGTTCTCATTATAGAGATTTTTCACATCCTTGGTTAACTCTATTCCCAACTATTTTATTTTTTTTGTGGCTATTGTAAATGGGCAAGCTTTCTTGGAGAATAGAAATGCTACTGAATTTTGTGTGTTGATTTTGAATCCTGTAACTTTGTGAAATCATTTATCAACTCCAGGACTTTTTTTTAGAGGTATTAGGCTATTCGATAGGTAGGATCATGTCATCTGCAAACAGGGATAGTTTGACTTCATCTTTTCAATGTGGATGCCATTTATTTCCTTCTCTTCTCTGATTGCTCTGGCTAGTACTTCCAACACTATGTTGGATAGGAGTGGTGAGAGTGGGCGTCTTTGTTTAGTTCCTGTTCTTAAGGGAAAGGTTTTCAGCTTTTCCCTATTCAGGATGATATTGGCAGTGGGTTTATCATATATGGCTTTAATTACGTTGAGATACTTTCCATCTATACCTAACTTGTAGAGAGTCTTTATCATGACCGTATGTTGAGTTTTATCAAATGCTTTTTCAGCATCTATAGAGATTATCATATGGTCCTTGTGTTTGATTTTATTGATATGGTTTATCACATTTATTGATTTGCATATGTTGAACCAACCTTGCATCCCTGGGATGAATCCCACTTGATCATGGCATATGACTTTGTGTATGTGTTGCTGTATTCTGTTAGCTAGTATTTTATTAAGGATTTTTGCATCTATTTTCAGCAAGGATATTGGCCTGTAGTTTTCTTTTTTTGTTATATCTTACCTGGTTTTGGTATCAGGGTGATGTTTGCTTCATAGAATGAGTTTGTGAGAATTGCCTCTGTTTCAATCTTTTGGAATAGTTTGTAGAAAATTGGTGTCAATTCCTATTTGAATGTTTGGTAGAATTCTGCTGTCAATCCATCTGGTCCGGGGCTTTTCTTTGTTGGGAGCCTTCTGATAACATCTTCAATCCCTTTTCTTGTTATCAGTCTGTTCAGATTTTCTACATCATCTTGGCTCAGTTTTGGTAGTTTGTGTGTGTCCAGAAATTTATCTGTTTCCTCCAGATTTTCAAATTTGTTGGCATATAGTTGTTTATAGTAGTCTCTAATGATATCTTGTATTTCAGAGGTATCAGTTGTAATATCACCTTCTTCATTTCTAATTTTTGTTATTTGGGTCTTTTCTCTTCTTTTTTTAGTTAGCCATGCTAATGGTTTGTCAATTTTATTTATCTTTTAAGAAAACCAACTTTTTGATTCATTGATCTTTTTTATCATCTTTGGGGTTCAATTTCATTATGTTCTGTTCTGAGCTTAATGATTTGTTTCCATCTGCTAACTCTGGGTTTGGATTGTTCTTGTTTTTCTAGTGCTTTAAGGTGAAGTATTAGGTTGTTCACTTGCCATCTTTCCGTTCTTCTGAAGTAAGCATTTAATGCGATAAATTTCCCCCTTAGTACTGCTTTTACAGTATCCCACAGGTTTTGGTATGATGTATCATTATTTTCATTATTTTCCATAAATTTTTTGGCTTCCTGTTTGATTTCTTCTTGGACCCATATGTTATTAAGTAGAATGTTGTTTAATTTCCAT